AGAAGATGTATATGGATTGAAGTTGACAAGGGGTGGATTTTTGATGGTTAACACTGAGTGTCAACTTGACTGGATTGAAGGATGCAAAGCATTGATCCTGGGTGTGTCTGTGGAGGGTGTTGCCAAGGGAGATTAACATTTGAGTCAGTGGGCTGGGAAAGGAAGACCTACCCTTAATCTGGGTGGGCACAGTCTAATTAGCTCCTAGCACGGACAGAATAAAAAGCAGACAGAAGAATGTGAAAAGACTAGACTGGCTTAGCCTACCACCCTATATCTTTCTTCCATGCTGGATGCTTCACAGAGTTTGTGGCGGCAAGCCATTTGTTTCAAAGGGTCTTGAATTCTTTTGGTTTTCCTAGTATGTATCCATGGTGGCTCTTGGAGTAAAAGTTCACAATATGAGTCTCCATATGCTGTTCTGTTCGTCTAAGTGGGAGCTGCACATTAGTCCTGTCTCCTATCTGCCATTTTATCTCAGTTTGCCAGATAATTATATATCTTAATCCACATTTTGCTTGTTTTTTTGATACACATTTCTTAACATTTATTTATTTTTGCCCAAGTGTCTAAGAAAACAATGCCTATAAACAAGAGAGTTGAAAAAACTTTCTCTATTTAACTCTATTCAAGGTAGTTGTATCTGGGGTAAAGTCTGGCATTGGTCTGAAGCAGAATTGGGGAGTGGAAAAGCTATACCTGGTTAAGTAGTCTCCATATCTATAATCAGATATAATGATGGAGTCCAGAGGCTTACTGAGATAATGAGACTGATGATATTGTCATTTGCATGCTCTGATGACACATGGTTTGTTGATGTACAGTAAGTATAGTAGGTATGGTACGTATCAATTACAAGTAGCTGAGGCACACACATGGCATGTTTATTTCATGGTTGCTGCTTTATAGTAGCACTGACATTGTAACTATTGATGGTGTTGTGATGTTAATGGTAGTACTAGATAATGATTAAGTATATGGACCCTGGAGCCATCTTTCCTGGTTCTGAATCAGTCCTCCACCACTGAATAGCCATTTGAGTATGCCCCTTAGAGTCTTTGTTCGTAAATGGGCATGATGATAGTACCTACCCCAGAGGGTCACAGGCAATAACTTTTAACTATTATTATTGTTGCTCCAGTTATCAGCTGGTATAAACGTCTAAGTATACGTAGCATGAGGCATTGTAGTATAGTCCAAAGAATACAGACCTTGGTGTTAGACTAGGTTGGTTTCTTTCCTCAATGTTCATACTTCTGCTTAGTTGTGGGACCTCAGGAAAGCTACTTTACTTTTTGGAGCCTTAGTTTCATCGTCTATTTACTGTACATGTTTATTATGAAGATCAGAGTGTATGAGTGCCTAATTTACAGGCTGATAAATAGTAAATGGGTGACAAATGATACTGTTATTTGTTTTAGGGTTCATGGGTTTGCCTAACAACTCAGCGACTGACATGGGTCCTTAGTCATGAGAGGTAACCCTGAGCTGCTGTTTGCTATAAATAGGTTTCAGAATTTCAGTATGATCAAATAAAGTTAGACCAACCTGGAACCAAATTAAGTTGGTTGATTAGCATTTGGAATAGTTATTTTAAATGTAAGTTAAACCTCTATAACCTTTTTTGGTATTTTCTCTTAGAGAAAAATTTTTAGTAGACTATTTTTTTTCACAGCAGTTGTAGGTTCACAGCAAAGTTGAACAGAAAGTACAGACAGTTCTCAGACACCTCCTGCCTCCTTGCATGCATAGCTTCCCATTCTCAACACTCCCTACCAGAGTGGTACATTTGTTAGAATCAATGAACTGATATTGACACATCTTTAACACTCAAAGTCCACACTTTACATTAGGGTTCATTCTTGGTTGTACATGCTGTGGGTTTGGACAAATGTGTAATGACTTGTATTCACTATTGTAATATTATAAAGACTAATTCAGTAATTTCAAAGTTTATTCAAATTCACTGCCATAAACATTCTCTGTGCCCTGTTTATTCATCCCTCTCCTCTGCTTAACCCATGGTAACCACTGATTCTTTCACCATCCCCACAGTTTTGTGTTTTCCATGTCAAAAGTCAAAATTACAACAAATTTAGTTAAAGATCAAATCGGTTTTTATTTGTCAGCACTCATTCTACAAAATATAATGAGAGCTCCCATGGGGCAGTGGAAGAATAGTGGGTTTTGTAAGGAACAAATAAACAGAAGAGTAGAAAAAAAATCTGATTAATCAATCAGATTACTTCAGGTTACTTTTCTAAAAAGGGTAAAAGCAAAGACAACTGGCCAGTGTGGTGGCGTATGCCTGTAATCCCAGCATTTTGGGAGGCCAAGGTGGCAAGATTGCTAGAGCTAAGGATTTTGAGACCAGCCTTGGCAACATAGTAAGATCCCCATCTCTAAAACAAACAAACAAAAAAATTAGCTGGGCGTGGTGGCGTACACATGTAGCCCCAGCTCCTCAGGAGGCTGAGCTGGGAGGATTGCTTGAATCCAGCAGGTTGAGGCTGCAGTGAACCGTGGTCATGTCACTGCTCTTTGGCCTGGGTGACAGAGCAGAGCTAGAACTGTCTCAGAAAAAACAAATGCAGAGAGAACTTTCTTACTCAGTTGAACTGGAATCTCAAGTTTTCAGGAAAAACTGGCCTGTTTGGGGATCTACCTGCTTAGTTGAAGTTTCAGTTTGATTAAGTGTGGTACTTAGCATGAATGACTATTTTGGTTTGATCTGGTCTGCTGGGGCCTACTACAGGAGCTCAGTCAACAGCAGCCTCCTATAATTTTTATTTAACATCCAGAATGTCATATAGTTGAAATCATACAGTATGTACCTTTTTCAGATTGGCTTCTTGAAAGTAAAATAAAATTTTTAACCTGTAAATTATGTTTGTGTTAAAAAAATATATATCTGGGAAGATTGCCCGCTTGAACCAACTTGCAGCTTCCTTCAGGGAGCTGGGAGACAGGAAGGGGACTTGTGCCCTGCCAACCAGATCATCAGCTAGCCCTCGAGCTTAGAGTGTTGATGTGTTGTGACTGAATTGCTCTCACACCTTCGTTTTCAAGATATTTTTAACTGTATTGGACTAAGTCCATAGTGTAGAGTTATAAATAGGGCTTGTGGGATTGACGTGGTCATGCTAGTAATTAGGTGCCTCTTCAAACCTGTGTCTGTAAATATGTGTTGCATGTTTGTTCATTGGAGAGGTCAAGCCCTGTGTGGGAGAAGAACAGAAAAGGAAGTGGCTGGGCTTGGCACACAGCATTTAACAGAACAAAACCTTACCATTAACCAGACCTTAAGGGCCAGTTTGGTGATTATCTATTGTTTTAATTCTCATCAGTCACTTTCTACTGTAGTAGCTTATCAACATATTTCTTCCAGTTAGGATCAGTTTCTGGCAGATACCTATCTTGATCTTGATACATACTGTACCCAGTGATATTGTAGTGCCTCTTATAGATTTTCCCTGGGCAACTGCCTAACTGGCCACTGCCAGCCTAATGTGGTCATCTGGCTCTTACCTATGTGGAATTTAGACAGAGCTGGTTTTTCCTTCTTTACCTGGGGTTACGGTCCCTAAGGAAATAATGCTTGGCCCTGTCCCTGACCAAGGAAGGGAAGGCACTCCTTGCCTCCATAGTTTATTTTTATGTATTATTCATGGATAAATGAACTGACTTGTTTGCCAGTTTCTGTTCTGCCTCCTGTCTTGAGTCCTCCTCTGGGAGATAAAGACTGGAAAGAGGCTAGATGCGGTGGCTCATGCCTGTAATTCCAGCACTTTGAGAGGCCGAGGCAGGCAGATCACCTGAGGACAGGAGTTCGAGACTAGTCTGACCAACATGGTGAAACCCCATGTCTACTAAAAACACAAAAAAAATAGCTAGGTGTAGTGGCGCATGCCTGTAATCCCAGCTAATTGGGAGGCTGAGGCAGGATAATTGCTTGAACCTGGAAGGCAGAAGTTGCAGTGAGCTGAGATCACACCATTGTACTCCAGCCTGGGCAACAAGAGCGAAACTCCATCTCAAAAAAAAAAAAAAAAAAAAATACTGGAAAAAGAGTGGAAAAGGGGGAGAAGAAAGACCTAAGCATTTATGAAAAGGCAAACTTGGGTGTAAACAGTCAGATGGAGCAACGTCTATGAATATCTAGGAGGCCAGTCATCTTGGGCAGGGGTTAGCAAACATGTTCAGTAAAGGGCTAGATACTAAGTATTTTAGGCTTTGAGGGCCCTATGGTCTCCATCAGGTCTGCTCAACTCTGCCACTATAGCAAGAAAGCAGCCATGTGTAAAATGTAAAGGAAAGGGCATGGCTGTGCTCTAGCAAAACTTTATTCATGGGCACATGTTCATTCTTACTTAACTTGCTAGCCACGCAGAAACAGGCAGTGAGCTGACCTGAAGTAGGATAATGTAAGAAACCTGATGTTAGTAAGTTTTGCGTGTCTGTGCTGCCTGGGTATTCTCTGTAGAGATCCTTTTCATGCTCACTTAGCTAAGTGAAAAAGAACTAGAAATGCTAAATGAATCCGATGAGCGGAAGGGAGCTGTGCTGACTTTTGGGCAGTAGAGAAGTATTCCCCCTGGAGGCCGGCTGGGACAGTGACAGCAAAAATCAGAGTGAGACCCACAGGGCAATGAGAGACTGCTGGCTATACACCAGATTCAGTCTTTCATTCTCTGCCCATACCATGGTGGATTTGTGTCTGGTTTTAAAAGGGGAAGCCAATCTTTGTGTCCATCCATTTTCTTTAATAATTAATCTGTATTATGTATATCTCAGAATTATTTCATTTCAGGTAATTTGTTGGAATTTTCCCTTTCACATTTGTCAATATTAATGTTCTGACCTCTTTGTACTACTAGGCTAAGAGTTCATTAATTTTTAGGTGATTAATAGCTGTTGTTAATAATTTATTTTATGTTTGTTTTATTGATTTATTTGTGCATATTTAACTATCTACCATAATTTTTACCTTGTATCAACAGGATTCTTACTACAGATTTAATGACCTTAACTACAGATGGGTCTCTTTGGATAACTGGACCTATAGCAAAGAATTTAAAATCCCCTTTGAAATTAGGTATGTATGTTTGTGGATGTATATTTATTATTATTTGAACTTTGCTTCTTTTTCTATCTAGGCAAAAATCTTGTGTTTTGTTTGTTTAGGTTACATATCTGAGAGTTAAGCAAGTCAAAAGCCTTGTACTATGAAAGTGAATATAAGATTTATGTTTTGTTTTGTATATGAGGATGGTGCTACTAATCATCAGTCATCAAACTGTGTCTTATGGAGTCATTTTTCCAGTGGTTATTATGGAGTCTAGACCTAGTTAGTTCTCTTATATAGATTTCCTCTTTCCCACTCCTTCATAATCATTAGAGGACATATTTATTATGTTGTCTAGTAGGATTAGAGATGTATCATTTGCTCTATGTAGTGCTAACCAGCCATTGAGACTATGACCTTGACCTATACTATGTGGTGAGGCCAGGAGGTGAAGCACAGGTATTGTTTTTAGCAATGTTCTGTTATTATAAGCAAACATTTCCATATGAGGCAGAATGTTACCCAAAGGTACTACCACTACGGCTAAATGAAGAAAAATTCCTTCTGTCCCTTTTATGTGATTTTTTTGAGAATTATTTACTGGTCTTTTAAAGGGGAAAAAATGCCACAATATTGTTCTCAATATCATGGAGTTAATGCTGTGCTCTAGGCTTTTTTTTACAGATAATATTTAGAATACCTTTCGTAATCATTCTATTTCACCTTGAACTCAACATATCCAATTGACTTTCCCCCTTAAAACTAACTTTATATTCTAACAGCTTCATTATTTCTCTTAATGTAACACCATTTTCCAATCTATGCCTAAGGTGCTTTTGGCTTATGACATCTTTTCTTCATCTTCCTGTCTTCAGTCTGTTCTGAGTCTTGTGAATTTTTGTCTAGCATTTCTCGTGGTTTGGTCCCTTCCATCTTATTTCCATCTTTCCATCTTTGCCTAGAAGATGGGTGCCAGGAAAGAGGCCAAAGCTGCCTAATCAAATTCTTGCTTTATTCTTTTATTCTCCAATCCTTTCTATTTAGAAACATTAGATTAATCATCCCAGAATATTACTTTTGCCAAGACAGGTGTTCGCTCAGGAATAGCAAGTGTCTCTTTTACTTGGCAAATCAAGTATAAACTCACTTGTTTGTGAAAATACAGCTGAATGATATCTGTCCCTGTAACACTGCCTGCACCCCTCTGGGATTTGTCCAACTTTATTCTCCTTAGCTCCCCAACCCAATTTACATATATGAATCAATTACCTACAAGTAATTAATGATTTCATGCTGTCAGCACTTCCTTGTTTTGGTTTTGTTCTTTGCAGGGTTAAGAGGTCCCTGCAAAGAGCAAAGGGTATAAGGGGTGGTGGAGTAGAAATGCCTCCACCCAGGCATTTCTACCTATTTAAAAAAAAAAACCACAAAACTTTATTGATATATAATTAACATACTGTATAATTCAGGCATTTAAAGTATATAATTCAATGGTTTTTAGTATATTTCCAGTTACAAAACCATCACCACAATCAATTTTATAACATTTTCCTCATTCCCTAGCAAAAACTTATACCCAGTAGCAGTCATTTCCCACTTCCCCTTCCTCCCTCCTCTGAATTCTTACCCCAGTCCTAGGCAACCACTAATTTACTTTCTGTCTCTCTGGATTTGCTTGTTCTGGATACCTCATATAAATGAAATAATGCAATATGTGGCCTTTGTGACCTCCTCTTTCACTTAGCATAATAATATTTTCAAAGTTCATCCATGTTGTAGCATGTATCAGTACTTTATTCCTTTTTATTGTTGAATATTTTACTGTATAACACATTTTATTTATTCTTCTTTTCATTAAGTTCTTGTTTCCATCTTGAAATCTTTTCTTATGAGATAAACTCTGATAGCACTTGTAGTTGTTCATCAGTATTGCCAGGCAGCCAACAAATGCCAATCAGATTGCAGACTGCTTAAATTCAGAGACTATTATAGTTTCTTGTAAGGCTTAGCAGAGTGCTGGGTGGATAATATTGACTTATAGATGATAGTTTGCTAACATGTTCTCTTACATAGTGTCAGTGAATGTGGTTTCTGGGAACATTTTGTGTCTATTATTTAACTTGGTTCTTTTTTTTTTTTTTTTGAGATGGAGTCTCGTGCATGCAGTGGCTCAGTCTCCACTCACTGCAACCTCTGCCTCCTGGGTTCAAGCAATTCTCCTGCCTCGGCCTCCCAATTAGCTTGGATTACAGGCGCCAGCCACCATGCCTGGCTAGTTTTTTGTAATTTTAGTAGAGACAGGGTTTCACCATGTTGGCCAGGCTGGTCTCGAACTCCTGACTTCAGGTGATCTGCCCACCTAGGCCTCCCAAAGTGTTAGTATTACAGGTGTGAGCCACTGCGCCCAGCCTAACTGGTTCTCATGATAACTTTCTGAACTATTAACTAGCAAAAGTAAATATAATTGGAAATTATGAATTGTGCTCTTGGTTTTATGATGACTTATTGATACATTACAGAGAAAGATAAGCTAGATCACTCAAAGAATTTAAGTATGTTTTAAAGCAGTACTTCTGAAAATGTCACTGGAAACTGCCTTTTAAGAATATATATTTTTGTGTGAATATTTATTTCTTAGGCCTTAAATAATAAAAAAGAGACTTATCTAAGTTAATGTTTTATACATCTTGTCCTAAAAATCTTTTCTTTTTTTTAGCAAATGGCAAAAAGTAAATTTGGTTCTTGAGGGAGTGGATACAGTTTCAAAAATCTTGTTCAATAAAGTCACTATTGGGGAAACAGACAATATGTTCAATAGATATGTAAGTATATAGTGACATCAGGTTAAAAAAAACATTTATGTATGTTTATGCTAATTGCTTTTGTGAGTAGAGAAAAGTAAATGCATAATTGGCCATGTGACAAATACAAGCTCATTAAAGCACTGGATGAGTTAGCTTCATTTCTCAGTTGCCACATTTGTGGAATAATGGAAACCTTACAAACCCCATGAGGTTAGTGTGGAGATTTAATAAGCTGATTATATAAAATGTTGGCAAGTTCTTGGCACACAGGAAGTGTTCAAAATATGCCAATCCCTTCTCTAGTGATGCCGAGTTTTATTAGCAATGTTGACAAATGATTTTAAAATAAAATGCCATTTCCTTTCTGGAATAGTTACATTAAGAGGTTATATCCTGATCTTCCTTTTCTTTCAAAGGTAGACTTTTCAAAACAAAAATAACTCATGGCTTAGACATGCATGCTGGTCTGACCAGAGAGGCAGGTTGTCATGAAGTGTCTAGGAAACCTTTGGCGGTTCAAGGCCGCATGTAAGTAGACCGAGTAGACATTCCAGAGCTAAAGCTATTTTTTGCTCTATCAATTTCCGTAGGACCATAATTCTGCCATGAAAAATAGAAGAAGAAACCTAGAAACCTGCATTGAGTAGGAAAATATGCTTAGTTTTAACTAAAAGTGGGCAGCTAAGTGATACTACAGTATTTCGGAGAAGTGTTTCCTCTTGCAAGGAGGCTAAACCTAGATTGGCATTATATTATGCAGCTTTCATACAAAATGCCATTATCTAAAATTTTACCCACAAGAGTACTTTCACATGATGGGTTTGTCTGTTTGTTCCCTTTAACTTAGAGCTTTGATATTACCAGTGTGGTCAGGGACGTGAACTCCATTGAGCTGCGTTTCCAGTCAGCGGTGTTGTATGCAGCACGGCAGAGCAAAGCTCACACTCGCTACCGGGTACCCCCAGACTGCCCTCCACTTGTGCAGAAGGGCGAATGCCACGTCAACTTTGTTCGGAAGGTAATGGTCTCTCAAACAGGTGGGGTTTTATTTTTGAGGATGGGATGTGCTGGCACATGAAATGCTTATTTGAAGACTCTCATGGCAGTTCAGAAGTTAGGAATCTCTTTCCTGATCCCTTAGTGGGATTTGAAAATTTGAAATAAGAACCAAAAGATTATTTGAAATTTTGTGGAGAATCTTTATCTTTTTCTAAGTTTTCTTCCTGAAGCAGCTCAGAACTTAAGTAACAGAAAAAGAAAGGAAAAGAAAAATATGTGGCTGATAATGGAACTTTAAAAATTATTTTTTAACATTTAGGTTTATCAAGCTTTTCACCAGATTGTGAAAATGTATTAGTGATTCTTGTTTCTAGGAAGCCTTCTGCAAATATTAGTATATTTGGTGATACGTTCTTGCATCTTACTAACATGTTCTCATAATATTAACAAAAAGATAACAAAGTCCACAAAAGTGATTATTTTTCCTTGAGTCTGATTTCAGTCTAAAGGACTTGGATCTATTTTACTACATGATTGAATTAGTATTCTATGAGATATTTGGTTTTTTAATGCTTATTTTATTTTTTATTTAAAAAATTTTAATTATATAAACTATGCATACAATTTATCATTTTAATAATTTTTAAGTATACAGTTTAGTAGTGCCACTACATTGTTGAGTGACCATAGAACTTTCTCATCTTCCAAAACTGAAATTCTATGCCCGTTAAACAGTAGCTCTCCAATTCCCTCTCCCCAGCCCCTGGCAACCACCATTCTACTCTTTTTTTTTAAGACTGAGTCTCACTCTGTCACCCAGTCTGGAGTATAGTGGTGCGATCACAATTCACTGCTGCAGCCTCCATCTCCTGGGCTCAAACAATCCTCCCACCTCAGTCTCCTGAGTAGCTGGGACTACAGACAAATGCCACCATGTCCAGCTAATTTTTGTATTTTTTTGTAGAGACAGGATTTTGCCATGTTGCCCAGGTTGGTCTCTAATTCTTAGGCTCAACCAATCCACCCACTTTGGCCTCACAAAGTGTTGGGATTACAGGCGTAAGCCACCATGTTTGGCCCATTCTACTCTTTTCTATGCGTTTTATTCCTCTGGAAATCTCATATAAGTAGAAGCACACCGTGTTTGTCTTTTTGTGACTGACTTATTTCACTTAGCATTATTTCCTCATGATTCATCCATGTTGTAGCGTGTTTCAAATTTCTTTACTTTTTAAGGCTGAGTAATATTCTGTTCTATGTATACACTACATTTTGATTATCCATTCATCCATTGATGGACATTAGGTTGCTTCCATCTTTTGGCTATTGTGAATAATGCTCTTATGAACATGGATGTACAAATATCTCTATATGACCTTTCTTTCAGTTCTTTTGGATATATCCCCAGAAGTGGTATGGTTGGATCATATGGTAATTCTATTTTTAATTTTTTGAGGGATTGTTTATTTATTTACTTACTTATTTTTTGAGGTGGAGTCTTGATCTATTGTCCAGGCTGGAGTGCAGTGGCGAGGTCTGCCATCTCCACCTCCCGTGTTCAAACAATTCTCCTGGCTCTGCCTCCTGAGTAGCTGAAATTCCAGGCATGCACCACCACACTCAGCCAATTTTTAAATTTTTAGTAGAGATGAGGTTTTGCCATGTTGGCCAGGCTGGTCTTGAACACCAGACCTCAGGTGATCCACCTGCCTCAGCCTCCCAAAGTGCTGGGATTGTAGGTGTGAGCCATGAAATTTAGTTTTATCAACAAATGTAATCATTGGGCTCATTGTGAAGATAGTAAACGTATTTTCCCAATACTTTTTAGGTAGAACGGTTACATTAGCTATTATGTTCTGATTAAGTTAAGTGGCTCTTTTTCAGCTGGATAGATTACTCTTAAATTATGTTTCCTTAATATAAATACTAGGGTCAAAATTATACCTCCTCCTGATTGATTCAACCTACCCAAACTTGTGTCAATGAACCACTTACCATTTGTTCAAATTTCTGTGATTCAGCAGCCTTAGAGTATTGCTTTGACAATTTTAAGTAGTCAAATATTCCATGGAATATTTGTATACTTATAATTCTGAATAAGATTTATCTTTTGATTCTTTTGCCTTTGGCTTCCAATGACACAGTGGTTTGAATGCTAGAGGTTGTACTTTTTCTGTCTTGCCTTCCATTTTTAACCTTTATCAAAACTGAGACTATCCTGGATCTTAATGTGAAAAGTTACTTTTCAAGTCATCAATAAAGATAATATAAATGTTATGCATATATCCATGTGCTATCTTCCCTCCATCCTCTATTGAATTTGTGGTATTTAAAACATACTCTCAAGTTATCTAGATAGAACAAAGCCCTTTGTCACTGACATTGGGAATCAGACCCAGTTTTCTGCTATCACCATGTGTTGGACATTAACTTGGGGGCAGAGTTCCAGAACAACTGCAAGTTGCATCTAGGTATTTCTGGATTGACATGGTCCAGTGGGAAGACACCTGAGTTGAAGACCAAGTCAAGAGTCTTGGGTATGAATTCTGGCTTTACAAACATAGAATGACTTTAGGCATGCCCTTCATTTGTACATGGAGCTAATCCCTGATATGAGGATATAGTGAAATAACAATGGAAATACACTCTGCATGTATAGCACTTTATGCTATACAACCATTCAAAAAGTCGAGTGGTGGTACCTATTTTGGAGGATTATTACTATAATTACAGGTAATGAACAAGATGCTCAGCTTAGCTTATATGAAGTTAGTGGGGTAGAGATGAGGAATAGGATATAAAGAGAAAATGTTACTGTCTTTCACCAGTTCTTTGACCCTTTGCTTTCCCTGTAGCAACCTAAGTCCCCTCTTGTCTCTGCTTCCTTTTCTGTCCAGGATGGATAGTGGGACTCATTGCTTCAACCACCCTCTTACCAATGTTTGATGCCATCTTACTTGTTTTCCATTTATATCTCTGGCCGGTCCTTGTAAGTCTCTTTATCCACAGCCTTGTTCTCCCCAAAGTTAGATTTTAGGGCCTTTCTCTGTTCTAGACTCTTTTCTCTTCTCATTTTATACCCTCTCTAGGCTATCTCATTTTTCATTTCTTCTATAACCAATCTATTTGCTGTTGACTCCAGTACTGTATCTTCACCCAACTTCTTTTCAACTCCAGACCTTACATTATTTAGCATTGTCACTTATCTGATTCACAGGAACCTTTAGGTCAGTATGCTCTACACTGCATTTGTGATCTAAACCCTTCTCCCAGGGTTCTGTGTCTTGCTGAATGGAACCCTATCCATAACAGGTGCTCAAGCCAGAAACTTAGAAGAGTTTTTCTTGACACATTTCTCTCTTCCAATCAGTTGCTTACTCTTCTAGATGATATGAATGGTACCTCTTCAATAGCTCTTCAGTCTGTTCACATTTCATTTCTGCCACTGTGTCTTGAGTTTAGTCATGCCTTGTGTGAAGTATCGCCCTGTTGCCTAACTGGCATCCTGAAGCGTCACTTGCCTTCCTCTAATTAATCATTCACAGAGCAGCTAGAATGATCTTTTCAGGAAAAAATGATAACAGTATCACTCTTCTTCAAACTCTTCAACAGCTTCTCATTACCTTTAGGCTAATGTCCATGGCCCTTAGCTCTGGCCCATGCCCACTTCTCCAGTCTTCTCCCTGCCTCTTCCCATTGTTCTCTCTTCATCTCCTGGAAAGCATCATACTGTCCTGCACCTCCAGACCTTTGCACATGCTTTTCCTTCTGAAAGGAATGCTTCTCGGCCAGCGCAGTGGCTCATGACTGTAATCCCAGCACTTTGGGGGGCCAAGGCAGGTGGATCACTTGAGTTCAGGAGCTTAAGACTAGCCTGGACAACATGGCCAAACCCCAACTCTACAAAAACATACAAAAATTAGACTGTAGTTCCAGCTACTCAATAGGCTGAGGTGGGAAGAGCCTGGAGGTTGAATCTCCAGTGAGCCAAGATCTCACCACTGCACTCCAGCCTGGGTGACAGAGTAAGACCTGTCTCAAAAAAAAAAAAAAAAAAAAATGCTTCTTCTTGCCTTTTACTTGCTCATAGTGGGTAAATGGTACTCACTCTTCAGGGTCATTTTTGTTTTTTTCAGGGCAACTCATCTTGATAGTCATCTCCCTCAATCTCTGGCTGGATGTTCCCTGCCTATTTCCATTGTAAAACTTATTATACTTGTAATTATTTATTCAATGCCTGAATTTCATGCTTGACTGTGAGCATTGTAAGCAGAAGAACTGTGTCTTCTGTGTACATTGATGTGCTCCGAGCCTGAGACATGGAAAGCGCTTCATAAATACTTCTTGAATCAGTGAAAACTCTCATTTGGAGAGGTTAAGAGTGATTTGTACCTCTCAATAGGGAAAATAGCCTCCCTTATAAGATGCTGAATATTTTGCTCTCCTTCTTTTCCCTGTCACCAATGAAAGAATTACAAGTAGATACTAAAATTCTCCCATAAATGTCTCCACGATAGTTTTTTTTTTCATCCTGAATATGCAAATCTGGTACTTAAGTGGTAAATTTAGACAGATGTGGATGCTATAAAGTAATTTTATTGTTTTTCACCATAGCAAAAACAGGTTTATCTCTGTCTTAGATAAGTACAAAGCTAGGGAAATAATACCTAAATGACAATAGTTTGGCTAGATCTTCAGGTTCTACTCTACAAATGACTCCATTTAGAAGGGTTTTAGTATTTCCTCTGGTGCTTGTTACTTTTTTCCCCCATAAAATGTATGACCCAAACTTGTTCCTTTTTAGAAGCTGAACTCATAGCTTTACACATTTTAATTAACGGTGCCCTAAAAATACTATTTTCTTTTAAGAAGTAGAAATTAGAAAAAATCCTGTGTAAAAGGGATTTATTTTACAGGATTTTTTATTAGTTTTGAATTTGAACTCTGTAATTTAATATGGAAGCTGTGTGTCATGAAGGGAGAGACAGGTAGCCAGATCAAGTAAGATTGGATAAAATGTCTGCCCTGGCAAACTGTGTCAGGGTCTAAAGATTGAACTGACTGTTTTTGGGCTTCATGTTCAGAAACAAGGACTTCTAAATTCATGCCCGAGGTGGGCAAGTTTGACTAGAGCTTTTTAAAACATATTTATAAATAGGTTTGTCTTTCAATATATTTTCTCATTTTTTAAAATTATTACATGTAAGCACAATATTCTTGTAGCTATTAGATTTAAATACAATTGGTAGGTTTAGAGATATTATAGAGAAGTTTAAGGAGGAAGTATTGAGTTGCTTCTATGTAATATGCTTTTGAAGAATAAATCTACAACTCTTCATAGATTTTATGTTCTTAGAACATTTCTGCAAATGAAACATAGGTTTCATAGGTTATATGCAATGTAGATATATTGGATATATTGGATATTGTATTAGCTATCTATTGTGATGTAACAAATTATGCCAAAATTTATCAGCTTAAGACAATATTTATTTATGAGAACACATGGACACAGAGGGGAACAACACACACTGGGGCCTGCCGGAGGGTGGAGGGTGGGAGGAAGGAGAAGATCAGGAAAAATAACTAATGGGTACTATGCTTAATAGCTGGATGATGAAATAACCCGTATTACAGACCTCTGTGACACAAGTCTATCTATATAACCTGCACATGTAACCCGAACTTAAAAGTTAAAAAAAGAAAATATCTGGACTATAGGTTTTCTGATTTCTAAAAAATAATAATAAACAAAACATTTATTATGGTAGCTTGTGTTAGTTGGGAATCTGAGTTGAGTGTGGCTTAGCTGGGTGCTTCTGGCTTAAGGTCTCTCATGAGGTTATAGTGAAGCTGTCAGCCACGGCTGCGGTTGTCTCAAGGCTTAGCTCAAGTTGATTCGAGTTGACTCAAGGCTGAAGTGTATGTGTCTGAGCTCACTCGTGGTTATTGGCAGACCTCAGATTGTTCCTATGGGTCTCTCCACAGAGCTACCCCATGACCCAGAGGCTGGCTTCCCTCTTAGCCAAGAGAGGGCATGAGAGAGTGCCCAAAATTCTAGGCTTAGTCTCTTATAACCTAATTAACAAAACATCACTTCTGTTATATTCTGTTGCTTAGGTCGAAAGTGGGGATCACTATAGGCCACCTCAGAGGCTGTATATGGTGGTTGGGGAAAACACACACACAGTTTTGCATTAACTTTGTGTCCCCCCAAATTTATATGTTGAAGTCCTAAGCCCTGGCATCTCAGAATGTAATAATATTTGGAGGTCTTTAAAAAAGTGATTAAGGTAAAACAAGGCAGTTAATGTGGGCCCTATTCTAATATAACTAGTGTTCTTTTAAGAAGGGGACATTTGGACAATGGAGGGAGACACCAGGGATGCTTAGCACAGAAAAAGACCATGTGAGGACACAAAGCAGAGGAGAGAGGCCTCAGAGGGAACAGACCTGCCGATACCTTGATCTTGGACTTCACTGTGAGAAAATAAATTTCCATTATTTAAAGCACTTAGTTTGCGATACTTTGTTATGACAGCCATAGCAAACCGATATACACATATATAACACTTAAAAAATGTTTTTCATAATTTTTAAATTTCATGATAAGCAGAATGTATCTTCTTTTTCCTTTTGAAATTGCAGGAGCAATGTTCCTTTAGTTGGGACTGGGGACCTTCCTTTCCTACACAGGGAATCTGGAAAGATGTTAGAATTGAAGCCTATAATATTTGTCACCTGAACTACTTCACATTTTCCCCAATATATGGTAAGCTGAGAGATGTGATTTTTTTTTTGTTTTTCTTTTTGAGTCTTCTTGCTATAAAAATTGGGTTTATAATTGAAATACAGATATATTTTTCAGAGATTTAGAGTTTTTTAAAAACTTTGTGGTATAATCAATTTATAAAAGTAAAAAACAGATACAAACTGATTTTACATGAAAATTGACAGTATAAAGCAGGTATGCAGGCAGATATCTTTTAGAATATTTTACAGGAAAAGAAAAAAATAAAATGAAAGAGCTGCTCCAAGTCTTCCTGAGGTAAGTATTCTTTGTTGAAAGAACTGTGCCTGCCGGTTGGGCTCCTTTTTGCTGCCTCTGTAGTCACTTTTAGTGTCAGATTCTTGCTTTGCTCATGTCGTCAGACTGGCTTCCTGTCTCTGCGTATTGTCTTCATAAGTGGGAGCACTACTTTGAGGGCCCTGACACAACAGCCTTGTGAAGAGTTAAAAAACTGGAAGGTAAACAGGGCAAAAGAAATATTTCTAAGGTGAAAAATAGTACTTTTTTAATTGAAGCAACTATTCAATATCAGGGAGCATTGGAATAGAAACTCAGAAATCTCACAGATGTCAGTGGATCAGTTAAAAGCTGGTTAAATATTTGTTGCATGCTTTGCTCAGCACTGTGTTTACTTAACATAGAAAAGATGTAGAGTAGGTATACTGATCCCTTCATGTGTGGGGAGGGGAGATAGAAACAACTGGCAAACGAAACAAGGTTATGTAATAGCCTTTCAAGATGAGAGCCGGAAAATCAAAGATCAGTGAGGATTTGAGAAGTTAGGGTAATGAAGTGTGAAGATGGAGGCAATTGAGATCTTAGAGCATGCAATGCGCAGTGTAATTACATGGAGGCCTAACTAGCTGAAATCAGTAAGAAAGAATGTGGTGTGTCAGTACAAGAGTTCTGTTATCATGAGAGCCCTCGTGAACTTAGCTTGCTATTCAATTGAGTCAAATCTGTATTTTCTGAAGGCAGGAGATGAAAGCAAGTGATAAATGCTTAGATTCGAGGAGGGTATTTGGTGCTGCTGGTATTTTTAAACTTTAAAAAGGCATTAAAAGATCCAATTTAAATTGCTCATGTAAATGTGACTGAGCTTATAATTCTCTGGTTTAGTGCTTCCCAAACTATTCTCTAGTAACCCAAGTAAAGATTTTTGCTCCTAAAATCAAATAATGGTTCAATCTCCCATCATCCTCTGTTCCCACCCATACATTTTCTCAGATATAAATAATAGAATCTGGTATAAGGAGTGGTCTGGGCCAAGTGCAGTGGCTCACACGTAATTCCAGCATTTTGGGAGACCAAAGTGGATGGATTGCCTGAGCCTAAGAGTGAGACTGGCCTGGACAACATGGCAAAATCCTATCTCTGAAAAAATATACAAAAATTAGTGGGCATGCTGGCGTTCACCTGTAGTCCCAGCTACTCGAAAGGCTAAGGTTGGAGGATCGCTGCACTCCAGCCTGGGTGAGACCCTGTTTCCAAAAAAAAAAAAAAAAAAAAAGGTCTGATTTAACAAAAAGTTATTTATTTGTTTTGAAGCTTAATTGGTATCTTAGGTGGTTTGCTAAATGCATTGTAAGCTCTAGGTACCCTGATGCCTGAAAAAATTTTGAATTATACTGTTCTAGTTTAATTTACAATTTTGAATATGAAATTAACATTTCTTCCTGAGTTATTAGAGTTCACTTTATCAGTAACTAGTGACTGGGTGAATTTTATATAAATTAAATTAATTTAAATGAGGCTTAAAATTCAATTTAGACTCAGTGTAAACAATTCCTCCTGTCAGCTACATTTGTGAAGGTTAAATACATTTTTAAAATTAATTCGGAATATTTGTACATATTTATGGGATATGTGTGATATTTTGTTACATGTATAGAATGTGTAATGATCAAGTCAGGGTATTTAGGGTATCTGTCACCTCTAGTATTTATCATTTCTGTGTGTTGGGAACATTTCAAGTCCTCTCTTCTAGCCATTTTGAAATATACAATACATGTTGTTAACTATGGTCACACTATTATGCTGTTGAACATTAGAACTTATTCCTTCTATTTAAATGCATGCTTGTATCCATTAATCAGCCTTTCTTCATTCCTTTCTGCCACTTATATACCTCTCCTAGCGTCTGGTCTCTATTATTTCACTCTCTACCTCCATGAGATCAGCATTTTTACCTCTGACGTATGAGTGACAACATGCAAAATTTGTCTTTCTGTGTCTGACTTATTTCACTTAATATAATGATCTCCAGTTCCATCCATGTTGCTGCAGAAGACATGATTTTATTCTTTTTTATCCATTCATCTGGTGATGGACGCTTAAGTTGATTCTATATTTTTGCTATTGTAAATAGTGCTGCAATAAACATGGGGGTGCAGGTATCTTTTGTTATACTGATTTCTTTTTCTATGGATAAATACCCATTAGTGGAATTATTGGATCGTATAGTAATGGTTCTACTATTAGTATGGTGGTCATTTTAATGATATTAATTCTTCCAACCCATGAGCATGGGATGTTTTTCGATTTGTTTGTGTGACTTCTTCAATTTATTTCATCAGACGTTTATAGTTTTCCTTGTGTAGGTTTTTAATCTCTTGGTTAAATTTATTCCTAGGTATTTCATTTTATTTTTTGTAGCTATTGTAAATGGATTTCCTTCTTGATTTCTTAGCTAGTTCATTATTTATGTATAGAAACCCTACTAATTTTTGTATGTTGACTTTGTATCCTACAAATTTGCTGAATTTATTTATCAGATCTAAATTTTTTGGATGAATCTTCCAAGTTTTTACAGATATAAGAGCATGTCATCTGCAAAGAGGAATAATTTTACTTCCTCTTTTCCAGTTTGGATACCTTTTATGTTTTTCTCTTGCTTGATTGCCCTGGATAGGACTTCCAGCATTTTATTGGATAGGAGTGGTGAAAGTGGGTACTTTTTCTCCATTCTAGTTCTTATAGGAAAGACTTTCAGCTTTTCCGCATTCAGTGTGATGTTAGCTCTGGGTTTTTATATGTGGCCTTTATTATGCTGAGGTATGTTCCTTCCATGACTAATTTGTTGGTAGTTTTTATCATGAAGGGATATTGAATTTTATTAAATGATTTTTTCTGCATCTATTGAAATGATCGTGTTTTCTGTCTTTCATTCTGTTGATGTGATATATCACATTTATCGATTTGTGCAAATATAAGATCCTTGCATCCCTGGGATAAATTCCACTTGGTCATAGTATATTATCTTTTTGATATATTGTTGGAGTTGGTTTGCTAGTATTTTGTTGAGGATCCTTGGATCCATGCTAATCAGGGATATTGACCTGTAGTTTTCTTTCTTTCTTTTCTTTTTTTTTTTTCCTGCTGCCTCTCTGTCTGGTTTTGGTATTGAAGGAGAATTCTCTTTAATACCATGTACTCTCCTCAGTGAAGAGGAGAATTCTCTCCTCTTCAATTTTTCGAACAGTTTGTGTAGAATTGATATTAGTTCTTCTTTGTAACTTTGGTAAAATTTGGCAGTGAAGGCATCCAGTTTTGGATATTTTTCTGTTGGAAGACTTTATTACTGATTCAGTCTTGCTACTTATTATTAGTCTGTTCAGATTCTCTATTTTCTCTCTCTCTCTCTCTCTTTCTTTCTTTCTTTCTTTCTTTCTTTCTTTCTTTCTTTCTTTCTTTCTCTCTCTCTCTTTTCTTTCTTTTTCTTTCTTTCTCTCTTTCTTTCTTTTCTTTTCTCACTCTTTCCTTTTCTTCTTCTTTTTTGTTTATTTTTCCTTTTCCTCTTCTCTCCTCCCCTC